CGAATATTCTTAAATATTGTTAGTGACTAAAATTAATTATATTTACGATTTTAAATAAATAGCAAATCTTTGTAACAATAAATACCAGATCTTATTAAATATTGATATCTATGTTTCCAAACTTACTTATTTTAAATACTGCTATCCATGTTTCCAAACAAAAGGTTAAAGTACTTCTACTTTAATAAGATAGATGGTACCAAACACATGGACAAACAAGAATTCCAACCAGTGGAATTTTCTGAAAACTCCAGCATATTAAATACACCACTAATTAGCTTTATGATGAACATGTCTATGACATCTATACACTACATTAAAAAAACTAATCAAATATCAGTGTCACAAATAGAATATTCAAAAGAATTAGATAGGAAAATACCTAAACAAGTTTTTTTTTTTTTTAAATGCATCATTCAGGCACTATATAGGCTTTGTCAACTGTTGGGTTAGACATAGTATTTGACAAGACTATCTTAACTTTTTTTAATAATCTCACTCAACCTCAACAACTAGAAGAAAAAAAACATAAAGAAACCAAAAAAACAGCTGTCGTTTAACTTTATAAACGTCTACAAAACATTACTGCAGCCTGTATAAATTGAATTTTGGTAACATTATTTAATTATCATCATCATGAAGAAATTTAATCGTTACAATTATTCACATTAGGGTTAATTATTTTTCCCTAACATAGCTGTCATAATCAATACACATAAGATTCTCTTTTACTTTTATGTTATAAAGGAAAAAAAAAATCCAAGCACTAACTTTTATTTCTTTTTTCCCGTTCTTCTTCTTCAATGCAATTATAAAAAGTCTCTTTCTTTGGCCGGCGATTAGAGGAAGAAGAGCTCAAACTCTTATAAAAAAAACTCTCTTTCAACTCCATTATCTGTCTCTCTCTCTCTATTGCTCTAAAAATACAAAAAAAACTTTACATGAAGGCCAAGGAGAAGATGAAGTACTCTCTCTTCGTCTTCTTCCTCTATCTAACGGCGGTGACTTCAGATCTAGACTCCGACCGGCGAGCGTTAACCCTCCTCCGCAACAGTGTCCGTGGCCGTCCTCTCCTATGGAACATGAATGCGGCTTCTCCCTGCGCATGGCACGGAGTCCACTGCGATTCGGGTCGGGTCACAGCCCTCCGATTACCCGGAGCGGGCTTATTCGGTTCGCTACCACTCGGAGGAATCGGAAACCTGACTCAGCTCCAAACGCTATCTCTCCGATTCAACTCCCTCTCAGGTCCGATTCCTTCGGATTTCTCGAACCTCGTCCGCCTCCGTTACTTGTATCTCCAAGGTAACGCGTTTTCCGGCGAGATTCCGGCGTTTTTATTCGCGCTTCCGAACGTTATTAGAATCAATTTAGGGGAGAATGGTTTCTCGGGTCGGATCCCGGGTAATGTTAATAACGCGACGAAGTTGGTTACGCTCTACTTGGAGAGGAATCAGTTAACTGGTTCGATCCCTGAGATTAACATCACGCTTCAGCAGTTTAATGTTTCTAATAATCAGTTAAACGGTTCGATTCCGGTTTCGTTATCCGGTTTTCCCTTAACCGCTTTCCAAGGGAATACTCTCTGTGGGAAGCCGTTAAACCCTTGCGAAGACGACAACAACGCCGAAAGCCCTAATTCTCCTCCTCCGGTCTCAGTTTCTCCGCCCGGGGAGAAGAAAGATAGCGACAAGTTATCCGCCGGAGCTATCGCCGGAATTGTGATCGGAGCCGTTACCGGTCTGGTACTGTTGCTCTTGATTCTCTTCTGTCTTTGTAAGAGGAAGAAAGAAGAGAACGGTCCGACAAGAAACGTAGAAGCTCCTGTCGCCGCGGCCACGACCACGGCGGCTGCTATACCGAAAGAAACGGCGGCTTACGTCCCTCCGGCGAAGACTGCGGCGTCCGGGAGCAGCGTGGTGAATAAAGACTTGACGTTTTTCGTGAAGACTTTCGGAGAATTCGATTTGGATGGATTGTTGAAGGCTTCAGCTGAGGTTCTTGGGAAGGGGACGGTTGGGTCTTCGTATAAGGCGAGCTTTGAGCATGGTTTAGTGGTGGCTGTGAAACGGTTGAGAGATGTTGTTGTGCCTGAGAAAGATTTTAGGGAGAGGTTGCAGGTTTTGGGATCGATGAGTCATCCCAATCTTGTTACTTTGATCGCTTACTATTTTAGTCCTGATGAGAAGCTTCTTGTGTCGGAGTACATGTCCAAAGGAAGCTTGTCTGCTCTCTTACACGGTAACTATCCTACTTCTTAGTTTAGCTAATGCTGTAAGTTGTGATTTTGATGGGCTTGTTTGGTTCGGTTTAAGGTTGTTAGTTAGATTGTGATTGGGTTATGTTTTTGATTTGCAGGGAACAAAGGTAATGGGAGGGCTCCGTTGAACTGGGAAACTAGAGCAGGTATAGCATTGGGAGCTGCAAGAGCGATTAGTTATTTACATTCTCGTGATTCGACAACATCTCATGGAAACATCAAGTCCGCAAATATACTCTTGTCTGATTCAAATGAAGCTAAGGTTTCTGATTACGGTCTAGCGCCTATCATTAGCTCCACATCTGCACCTAACCGTATCGATGGATACCGTGCACCTGAAGTCACTGATGCTCGCAAAATCTCTCAGAAAGCTGATGTTTACAGCTTCGGTGTCCTAATCCTTGAACTCCTCACAGGTAACAAACTACAAAACACATGTCATTTATTACTGCTGATTTAGGAAGCTAACATGTTACATTGCATAACAGGGAAGTCTCCAACACATCAGCAATTGACCGAAGAAGGTGTAGATTTGCCAAGATGGGTCCAATCCATCACTGATCAACAATCACCATCTGGAGTGTTTGATCCTGAACTCGCAGGGCATCAATCTCAAGGCAATGAGAACATGATCCGTCTCTTGAAGATTGGTATAAGTTGTACAGCTCAGTACCCCGATAGCCGTCCTTCCATGGCCGATGTTACCAGACTCATCGAGGAGCTTTCGCATTCATAAGGCTTGAGTTTAATTTGGGGTCTTAATGGATCGATTTCAAAATTGTTTGGGGGCTAAAATTGCATTTTCTTCAATAGTTTCTACGCCCTCCCCGCCCTTTTTCTTTGTTTGCTTGTGTCCTACTGTGTTCGTTAATTCTTGAGCCTCAAATTGAGATGAGACTTTGATGATTTTTTTTTTTTCTTAATTCAAATTTTTAAAAGATGTTTATAACGAATATTGCTGCTGCCATTTTTTTGTATAAATATTATATTGGTTGTGTGAATAATTGGTGTGTTTTCTTGGGTTCTTATCCTGCAATCCTAGTCAATGATTCGCCGAAACAATAAAGTCAGCGATATTGTTTTTCTTGCCGTCCAATAATTTATTTTATTATATGATTTATTAACATTAAAACGGATTATTTAACAAAGCCTAAACAAACAACGAAATCAAAACCGGCAGAAATCCTTTTTAAAAAAGAACAAAATCTTCCAAGGACAATCCGACAAAATAATATATTGGTAAGTGATCACCACAACCTCCATAAAAAACTGGTGATTGCAAAAGGTAAACATCAAACTTAGAGACCTCAAAATTTTGAATATAGCGGTAAAATTGAATTCGATTAACAATTTTTGAAGAAAGAACGAAGACGAAAAGCTAAAAGAATGCAAGATTAGATCGAGATTTGTGAAAACATGCGGATTTAGCCATCTACCGTCGAAATAGTATAGCTAATTATATTTTGGAAAAAAAAAAATCAACTCTGTTTATGAATAAAAACAATAAAAAGTTAAAAATCCCATACAAATCTAGAATTTGCACCGACTTCACACTAGAAAATAAAATCAAAGACAAAAGTGTAGTGAATCATGCCACAATTGACTGACAAATAGTTCACGTCCCCCCCCCCTTTATTTTAAGTTTTATCATCGTGAGAAGTTGGTAACCACTCCGTACACCACAAGAAAAAAGACATTTTAGAATGACATCAAACTTATGTACTTCCTGTATATAAAATATATTGAGGGGGAAATTCAACTTTTATGATAAGGAGGCAATACATTTTTTGCAGTCTCATATTATTTGTTGTTGTTTTTTAAGTTTATGGCAACTCCAAGTCTCCAATTTCAGGGCAGACGACAAAATTTCTTAGAAGACCACTAAAAATGGAAATATTTAGGCTAATAAATATACTCATTCACAGTGGGTAAAGCCCAAACTTTTAGAGCTTAACGGCCCAAGAATAGGTGACAAAACGACAAAAATCTTAGTTACTAATGGCTCTTGTTGCTTGCTATTTTGAAATCTGTCTGCGTTCGTTGATATAAGCCCATGAATATATCACTAGGTTTAACCAACAAGTTTACCATATTAAAAACTGCACGGCACAATTATTGGTCGTGGAAGGCAGTAAACTCTTAAACGATCGGTTGCTAACTCCATTACCACTTAACATATCTGATGATAGCCTTATGTCAGTTCTATTCCAAGATATAGACCTTAAAATATAATAGAATATGATATATTATTGTGTTGTGTTTGATACAAAAACATATGCTTATAAATATAATTATTAACTTTAATACGTTATAGTGTAATTTTTTCTAATCCAAAACACATATGAAAATATATTAATAATGTAAATATGTTAGAATGATATTTGATTTATTCTTCAAATGTTTCTATTTATTTTTCGTGGTCTTCATAGATTTCACAGACTTAAATACATATTTTCTGGTTTAACATATCTCTAATAAGGTCTATAGTGAAATGTTTAACCTTTATATATTGTGAGTTAAGCCTTGTATGTGTTGTATTATCATTCATTTATCATACCAGTCTACACATTACAATGAAACAACGATAGGTTTTGAATTATGTTAGGTTTATTATCTCTGCTTTTAACAATGTAAGGGTATCTTAATTAACATTTGGTGTGTTGAATTATGTTATGTTTTCCTTTTGTTTTTCTGTCACAACGAAAACGATTTTATGCGTATTAAGAAAAAAAATAGACAAATTTCTTTATATTATAAACATTTTCTCTGATTGATAAATTAAACTAATATAGATTAACAAATGCACTATGAAACAACACTTGTCAAAAAATCGGAAGAGTGTGATATGTTGTAGTTTTGCATAATGAAATGATCTAATCACTAAACGAAAAGTGGAAAAGGAATAGCAACTTTCTGTGTTCATCTTCGTTCATTGAATGTGCTCAAAAGAATAGATGAATCATGTTCCGTGTCCATCATTGAATGTGCTTTACAGTTTACACTCTGTTCTAATAAAATTCTTCAATTATAGACAACCCATGCATGTAAAACTACACAATATATAGTCTGGACTCGGCAAATTTACAAATCAGTCAAAGGAAAACTACACGTTTTTATTTTATTTTTACTCAACAAAACTACACGTTTTTACTTACAAACGTCCAACCATATAAACGTCTGGGTCATTATATGCTTGCTTAATTCAATATCAAAACGCTGAAAGTAATTAAAAATAAATACAAAAATAAAAGATGTAGATAAATCAGGTTAGATATTGCTGTCAGATTAGTTTAACCGACCAGGCTGCGTGTCGATAATTGTGTCAGGAAAAGTACTTCCGATTTACTTTAACCAAGTATTGTATCACTTTATGTTACTTTTTCTTTTTTAAAAGTACATAAAGTTTAACATAATATTTCAGGTTAGGTAAAAAGAAGTACGGTGCGATGTACTATAGCCACGGAAGAAAAAATCCAAAGGGCATAGAAGCAATAGACCTTAGCATTTGTTGTGTTTTGTCACTATCTCATCATCTACATCTCTTGGTCTTTGATTTGTCAACCAAAACCAAGTATACTCGTGCCTTTTTTTTTTTTTGCTAAAAGGTAAATATCATAAGAATGAAAGTTAGGATTTACAAGCAAGTAGACCTAATTTATGTTACATCTTGGCAAAAAAAAAAAGATAAAAACAAGATTATAACAAAGGAGGATGAACTAAAAGAAAATCAGTGCATCCACTTGGCCATGAGGTTATGGAATTGCTTCTTGTTCCTCCTAGCAGTGATAGTGTTTCGCATTTCTCTGTCAATGAATCTGTAGATCACTGATGGAGACTGAGTAATCTGGTTATGCAACTTGTTGTTCCTTTGTTTCCAAAGGTGATAGATCGTACACTGGGCCACCAGCTTCTTTAGCAGAGTTGGTGCAGAAGTAGATGAACTTCTAATCCATGACAGGAGTTCTGGCCAAGAACAGAACATGGTGTGAGGCGGGTTGAGCCCTGCAATAGAAAGACGCCATACTTCAGAGCTATAAACACATGAGAGGAATAAGTGGTCTCTTGATTCCTCATGAGCATAGCATAAACAACATGATGTATTAATTTGAAGTCCCCAAGAAGCCAAACGAACTCTCGTTGGTAATCTGTCCATGTTAGCAACCCACATAGTGAAACTATTCCTGGGAATAGCTCCTTTAAACCAAATTACGTCAACTGCAGGTTGTACTGGGAGTGATGGTCTCATGTCTTCCCAAGTGTTACGGGCGTTGAACCTCGGCTCTTCCCGCGCTGAAGTGACCCAAACATAAGAGTCTGGGACGTCAGAAAAAGTTGGGCACTGAATACATGTTAAGAAGATGTGAAGGTCAAGTGCCTGGTTTGATCTAGGAGGAGGAAGAATCCAACCAGTTGAAGAACAGGCTTCAGCCACAGTTGCGTTGATATGAATCCTGAGCTGTGAGGGTCCCCTCTCTCCAAGAAAATTAATAAGCTGTCCAAAAGGAGTCCAGATATCATACCAAAAGCTGATTATATGACCTGTTCCAAGAATAGGCTTAATGAATTTGATACCCTCAGTATACTCGTGCCTTTCTCCTTTTTCTTTAGGTATGTAAATAAATAGTCCTTTCACTAAATAAAAGGTACAAACAAACACACATAAATGAAGAAAAAAACCCAATAAATGTGTTTGTATATTTATTTTAGTGAGCTATCATCCACGATATAAATCATACTACCATTGTTTTGTTTTGCTTCAAATTGTTTATCTATAAATATGGAAATTGAGAAGGTTAGTTTGGCCAAGGAACTTATAAAATAGTAGTATATGTTTTGTTTGAATGGTTTCCAAATAATAAAAGATTAAATAAAGAAGAAGAGAAGAAGAAGAATGGCAACTTGGCTGTAATGTGTGGTACTGCAACATTTTGCTTCTACACGTAATCCCAAACACACCTACTTCTCACGCCAATTATTGTTATATTTTTGGTTTTATATGCCAAAAAGAAAGAATATGTTAAAAAAATAAATATATGTGTAGATGCTAAATGTTATTGTCAGCCTTATCAGTTTTATATGTTGTATGATGTATATGATACGACGTTTGCTGTACTTTTATTTATTTAGTGAGCCGGGTGGTCCTCCTCTGAATATTATCTAAATCATTTCTTGGGGTTGATGAAATACATAATTGGCAACATTACAACTTGCGTCATCACAGCTTCATCATTCACATATGGTAAACACACATGAGGAATCCTTGTTTAACTCTGTAACCACACAATTTGGTTGTCAATAAGACATGAAAACACTCTAGATTTCTAACAAAGTTGTGGATCATGTATCTATAAACTAGACAACCATTTCTTACAAGTAATTAAGAGGATACATATCTTGAAACAGTCCAGAAGTATTTTTATTATTACAAGTTTATAACTTAAAAACCATTTAAATTGATCAAATTTCTAATAATTTAAAATAATAGTTATTAATTAAAATTTTATTAGTATTAAATAAAGTGAGAATAAAAAAATAGTCCACTACTATTATATAAAGGCGTCATAGGCTAAACTAAACTCCACGCCCTAAAAAACAATCAGAGATTCTAGTTTTCATACATCTCTCTCTCTTAATACGATTCTGATTCTATTCTTTCTCACCTACCATTGAAAAATTCTTCATAGATCTCTTCTCTATCCATTTTTTTTTCTCTGCCATGGGCCACGGAACAATGACAACACCACCGACCACCACCATCACATCCAAGACAACGCTCGTGTTCACGTACGGAACTCTAAAGAGAGGATTCTCAAACCATGTCCTGATGCAAGATCTGATCAAATCCGGCGACGCATCTTTCAAAGGAGTCTACCAAACCCTAGACAAATATCCCCTCGTCTGCGGACCTTACCGTGTCCCTTTCCTCCTCAACAAGCCTGGAACGGGTCATCGCGTCACGGGAGAGCTTTACGCGGTTTCTCCACGCGGTCTCTCGCGTCTGGACGAGCTCGAAGGTATCACTAGAGGACATTACGTGAGGCAAACGATCCGTATCGCCGCTGGTGAGAAACAAGGAGGAGATCTTGAAACAGAACAGCAGGAGGAGTCTTATTTGGTGGAGGCTTATTACGCGCACAAGAGCTACGAGGAGGAGCTCTGGGAGAGGAATAAAGGGAGGTCGTTCGGCGCGTACACGGAGAATGAAGCGCGTGGATATGTCAAGCGTAAGGATCGGCCTCAGCATCTTACCTTCTTGGACCATATCCGTATTTTTGTTTCTTCTCCATGTGACTGATTTCGATTTTTTATCCTCTCTTCTTTTTTTAATCTTTTTATCGGGAAATGAAATAAGAAAGTACAAATGCAAACCATCCACTAGTTTCAAGTTCAACTAATTCTTAGGGGTCCCACGAGTTCGTCGTCTCCGTACACGGTTGGTGTAAGCATTTAATTAGCGGTTCTGTTGTTTGGATGTAAAACATACGACTAATAAATTTGGTAAGTCTTTGTGCTAACTTTAATTAATCGTTGATCAGTCAGTGTCTTTTCAGGTTCTGTTTTTATGTTTGTGTCCGTATCCAACCTCCTTTGTTTGTTCTCCTATATTAGCATAATTTGTTAATTCATGAATCATAGATTGAACTCATCTTTGCTCTATGTGATGTTGTCATTAACCAAGTAGACTTGGTAGAACCAACTTAAATATTCTGTATAACGTCTCTAGGTATCTCGTAACGCTACGGAACTATTCCTATTCCAGTGTTAATATTTCTTCTTTTTTTTTTTAGCCCAGTGATAATGAATTTATGTTTTGATACTACCATTTGCATTTTAATATGAATTAAGACATCAGTTTCCAAATATTGCACATAGTCATGAAACAACCAGCTAGCCATGGTCATGTCACCAAAGACTCTGCAGTAGAGAATGGAAAAGATTTGTTTGACAATACTTCTTGGAAATACACAGATTTTTTAGCTGGCTAGTCCTTTTTTTAAAGAGTATTTGCATTGTGTATACACACAAAACCATCAAATTAGCTATATACCCTATTTCCCCCTTCTCTCTCCTCCCCCTATTATTATTTTTTCCCCCTAAACTAAGGCAAATTCCTAAATAACTTCTTTTTTTGGTATATTCAGCAAATTCACCCTTTTTTAAACACTTGACCAACTCCAGTTGACATAGCAAGTACGAGACTAGCTCCGTATGCAACGAAAAATATTACTCCATCCGTTTCAATTTAGTTGTCATTCTAGAATAAAAACAAATTAAGAAAAAAATTAATTTTACATATTTTCAAAATAAAAATACAATTGCCTATACACCTAACCACTTTTCAACCAATGAAAAAATATAATCACTTTTCAACCAATGAAAAAATATAATGATTTTTAAAATTAATAAATTTTGCATGAAATTATAAAATGATATTTATTTGAAAAATTTTACTCTAGAATGACATCTAATCTGAAACAGAGAGTACTATTAAGGTCGAATGCTTTCGTTAAAGATGTGTGTGCAAAGTTGTTGGTGCTTAGATTCCAACTGTTTGACTAATGAGTAATGACTACTAAAAAATATACGACCCAGCCCCAAATTCGGCACTGTTCAGGACTTCAGTTCCGGGTTGACCCAGTTACTACTCCTAAGACAACGGATTTTAGCAAGCATAAATCCACAAGTATAGTCTTAAAGCCATATGTTGTTTGTACCGAACATTTTCCAAGCGTTCAAAAGCATCTTTTCTGTCGGCCTCTTCATTATCGAATCAAAAGCCCAAACGAGGACAATACAGATGGTATGGAAAGCCCATTTTCAATACCATTACACACGTTTGATTTAAATTTTAACCCACCTTAGAGCAGCATTAACGCAGGTATTTAGAGCGTATCTTAGGTTAATTATGTATTAAAAGAAAATGTAAAACAAAAATTAAGGGAAGAGGCGTATGTTATTTCGCGTCACGAGCATACGGTCTTTTGTGACACGTGTTGTCTTTGTGTTGAGTTCTTTCTCTCTCTCTCTCTCGAAATCTCTTTTTCTTCCTTCGCGATTTTCATCTCTATCTCTCTGCCACTGAAGAAATCAGTCGGGTTTGTTGTTCGATTTGATAATTGGATCCATCGGTAACAGATTTGATGGAGGAGTCTGTTTTGATTCAAAAGGTTAACCTTGAGAATCTGTTTTGATTCTCTTCACAAGAAGGCTGATCCAAAGGCTCGAGCTTTGTCTCTGCGTCGCGGAGGGAAGAATAACGCGACGGCGGCGGAGTCACTGACCTAGCGGATGGACCTGGAGTTGGTGAGACGACGAGGTTCCAAGGGAATGATAGATTGTTCTGGCTGTTGACATTGATGAGGGTATGTAATCTTCCCTTCTTCTTTGATTAATCATGTTTATTGGAACTAGAGATGTTTTTAAATGTTTTTGTTATGAGTTATTGAATTTTTAAATGGGTTCTAGAAAAAAGTTTTAGACTTTAACAGTCAAGGAGGTGTATAGTATCTGGAAATATGTATTTAGATAGATGTTGTTGGAGCAAAAGGTTAGAATCTCAGATAATTTTAATTTGTATTGTGATTGTGTAGGAAGACTTGTAAATCCAAGAGACATGAGCCAAGAAAAAGCAGAATCAGCGTGGGATAGACTTGAATGTTGCTATATGAGCCATGAAAGAGCAGACTCGGCGTCTGTTATATATTGATCCCAAGGTACATATACATGTTGCCAAGTAATAAAAGGACCAAGCTTTTACATTTCATGTGTCTCATTTTATCCTTATTCTTCAACCATTTGAGTAAAGATTGGATTCTTGTTTCCTGTGCATCATATAGGATTCACTATGTTTCATGAAGCTATTGATTTCTTTGTTTGTTTGTGTGTGATCATAACTTCTTCTTGGATAAGTTTTAACATAACTTGTTTGTTGTGGCCGAAGCCAATGCTACAAAGAAACTACTTCGTCCCATGTTTGATCCTGTCACGTAAGTATTAGCTCTTCTAATAAATGTTCTGTGTGTTTGGTAATGGTTTTGAGCATGCTTCTGAACTAGGATCGGTGTAGGTTGCTTCTGAGCTTTGATGATTATTGCTGTGTGATGGAATGTGTATCTTCTTGTAGGCTGAGCTTGAGAACTTGCAAGGTTCATTGCTGAGCTTGAGAACTTGCAAGGGAAAAACAGATACTCTTTCTCTTTATTGAGAGCTCTGTAATTTAGTCATGATTGCTAGATATAAACTCTATTGTCTTTTTATTTTGTATTGTGTATTTTTACAATTTCCTTGCCTGATTGTTCCTGACATTCAAGATGACAATAAGGTACACTGTGATCATTTGTGAAACCAGTCACGAAGAGACCTGCATTGGATCGGATAAATTTGTAGGTCTCTTAAGTGTGTTTCTTAAATCACTTTTCCATTAAAATGCATTATAAAAAAAAATAAGAGACACATTAGGGTATATGGGTTGATGGTGCTCTTATCTATTCAATGAAAGAAAGCATACCGCCAGTTTAGTTTCAAAGTTTTAACAAGAAAAATAAATAAAGCAATTGGTTAGATGAAATGATTATGGATTTGACTGGATTTCACCAACCGTGTTTAGAGGTTAATTGCTTTGGTTGTTACTAATCACTAATCCATTTGACTTGTTGTTTTTGCAACAAATTAACAATAAATAACACATGTTGAACATTATATCATATATGCTCATGAACATGATATACATTAAATACTTTGAAAAGCAATGGAATAAAGTACATATTTCTGAATTCGTTATCTTTGATTCATGCTTTACTTTTCATCTGTATAAACCAATAAAGTAATTAAAACTTAATTTTGGATTGGTAACCACACTTTCTCTTCCACATTAACTATCTTTAATTTTAATAAAGCTCATTAAAAAACCGCACTTGGATGGGACTAAAGATATTTTCTCTTCCACATTAACTATCTTTAATAGTAGAGCTCATGTATTGGTTTAGTTTAGTCTTCTCATCTCTAATCTCACGTTTTTAGTATTTGATTAATCAAAATTATTTATTGGTATAAACGTTAGTATATATTTTTGGTCGTTACCGTTTGCGTTTAAATCGTAGTAGGGATCGGGAATGCGAAGCGGAACTTTTTGTTGTGTTAAATTTTTAATTTTTAAAATTTTATGCTTTTATTTGCGCTTTAATAGGATGAGTGAAGAGTGTGGCCACTCTGGAGACAAACCCCACCAACTTCTATCATTCTCTCTGTTGGTTGGTTCATCAAACGTTTCCTTAATCCTATGAACTAAATCATTGTGTTTATCTCTCTCTCTCTCTCTCTCTTGATCTCTACTCAAACATGCCAACCCATTTTTCATAAGCAAATTTGATTTTACAAAGTTCCAAGATTCAAAGGTTTAACACTGTGTTACTTCACTGATCCATAGCAGCAGGAGCAAACTGAGACTCTGTGGTTATGGCTTCTAAGATTAAGTAAGCTTCTCTGATCTCTCTTTATAGTTACGTCTTTTACGTTGTTAGTAGCTTTTGTCGATTCAAATTCCGATCTGGGTTTTGATCTTTTATCTACCGAAACAGAGTTCCTCTGAGGCTTTATTCGTTGTCTATGCTCGACTAGATCTAATAGGTCTGGTTTTATAAAGGGAATCTATTTGTCTGCTTCACTTATATTTGAAAATCTTATTAAGCTGATTCACTTATATTTTATTACAGTTCCATGTCGAGTTCTTAGCTCTTGTCTTTATCTTGATTTTTTATTTGAACCTCTGTTTTGTTTTTTTTTTATCTGGAGAGAGACACTTGTTTCTTATTCTACTTAATCAATGTGGTTTATTTAGACACTGTTTAAACTTGATTGATTTTTGAATCAGGAACGGAATATTTTTATTTATTTTTAGTTTAAGTATTGGTTAATTCATGATGCTTCTTGTATAGTTACTGTGATATGTTTGAGATTTTTATTAATTTGTGTCAATTATCTGAAGCTGGATCATATGTACTGTCAAGCATGAGTAAGTTTTTGTTCAATGGACCCCAAAAATCTGAGATCTGTGTTACCTATCATTCACTAGCATTGATTACTGAAGTTCCTGTCAGTGTGTGCATAAAAAAAAAAAAATTAATGGTTTTTGCAACTTTAGTTGTCTCCTTTTACTTGCCTGATAAGACTTTTGGTTGTTTTTTTGAATAACAGAACTGGTGCATCCGAAACAACTCTGAGCAAATCATCTCCTGGATCTCTAAGAGTGCCTAAAGTGACTCGGATTACAACTAGATCTGAACCTAACACTCCTTCACCCACTCAACACTCACGTCTTTCTCCTAACTCAAAGCCTTCTACTGAAAAGAGGTCTCCCAAAGTTCCAACTCCACCTGAAGTAAGTGTCTCAACAAAACATTATATCTTGAATTCTTAAGCTTGTGCTGCCACACTATGATTTAACTGTTGATATCAATTGTTGTTGTGTAATGATTGTTTGCAGAAAACTCAAACACGGGCTGTGAAAGCATCAGAATCTCAACCTCGGTTGATCCAGTTGAAGGAAGATCTAAGGAAAGCGAATGAGTTGATAGCATCACTTGAGAATGAAAAAGCTAAAGCACTTGATGAACTTAAACAAGTGCGTAAAGACGCTGAAGAGGCATCAGAGAAGCTTGAAGAGGCCATAAAAGCTCAGAGAAAGGCAGAGGAGGATTTCGAAATCGAGAAATTTGAAGCTGTTGAGGCAGGGATAGAGGCAGTTCAGAGAAAAGAAGAAGAACTGAAGAAAGAAATCGAGAATGTCAAGAGCAATCATGCTTCTGATTCATCTGCTCTTCTTTTGGCAACACGGGAGCTGAAGAGAGTGAGTGAAGAGCTGGTGGCAGCTAATGAAGCCAAGAGTAAGGTTCAGAGTGAAGCAGATGATGCTACCAAGATGGCTGCTATACATGCAGAGAAAGTGGACATCTTATCATCAGAGTTGATACGTTTAAAGGCTTTGCTTGATTCAACACGAGAGAAGGAAACCATCTCCAACAAGGAGATTGCTTCTAAACTAGGAGGGGAGATAGTTGTTTTGAGAAGAGAGCTTGAGAATGCGAGAAGTTTTGAAGCAGAGGTTAAGGAGCTGGAGATGGTCATTGAGAGGCTTAAGGATGAGTTAGAAGCTGCGAAGATGGCAGAGTCTTATGCACATAGCTCTGCTGAAGAGTGGCATAACAAAGCTGAAGAGTTGGAGGAACAGTTAGAGGAAGCTGATAAGGTTAAAAGATCCTCCTTAGTTTCTCTTGTATCTGTGACTAAGCAGCTGGAAGAAAGTAATGATATATTGCACGCTATGGAGTCTGAAGTTACTGATCTTAAGGAGAAAATTGGGTTATTAGAGACGGTGGTTGCTAGGACAAAGGAGGCACTTGAGGTATCTGAAGAGCGTTTAGGTGTTGCAGAAGAAGAATTATCTAAGGCGGAGGAAGAGGTGATTAGATTGAAGAATGAGCTTGAAACTGTGAAAGAGGAGAAGAATGAGACTATAAAGAAGGAGCAAGACGCTACTTCAAGTGTTCAGATACTCTTGGAAGAGAAAAACAAGCTCTTGTCAGAGCTTGAGAATTCTAAAGAGGAAGAGGAGAAGAGTAAGAAAGCTATGGAGAGTTTAGCTTCTGCACTGCATGAAGTGTCGAGTGAAGCACGTGAGTTGAAAGAAAAGTTGTTGAGTCAAGGTGATGAGGAGGAGGATTATAAAACACAAGTAGAAGATTTGAAGCTGGTCATCAAAGCAACAAGCGACAAGTACGAGAAGATGCTTGAGGAGGCGAGACATGAGATAGATGTTCTTGTCAATGCGGTGGAACAAACCAAGAAAGACTTTGAGAGCTCAGTGGTGGATTGGGAGATGAGAGAAGCTGGTTTGGTTAATCATGTGAAGAAATTTGATGAGGAAGTTTCTTCAATGAGCAAAGAAATGAATAGGTTGGGTAATTTGGTGAAAAGAACAAAGGAAGAAGCTGATGCAGCGTGGAAGAAAGAATCAGAGATGAGAGATGGTTTGAAAGAGGTTGAAGATGAGGTGATTTATCTTCAGGAAACTCTCAGGGAAGAAAGAGCTGAAAAGTTGAAACTAAATGAGAAAATGTTGGACAAAGAAACTGAGTTTCAAAGCATTGTTCATGAGAATGATTTGCTCAGGCTGACACATGATGATTCTTTGAAGCAGATCAATGAGTTAACAAAGTTACTAGAGGAAGCATTGGCTAAGAAACATATAGAAGAAGATAAATGTGAGCTCAGTGAGAGTGAAAGAGACTATGATTTGCTTCCAAATGTGGTTGAGTTCTCCGAGGAGAATGGTCATAGAAGTGCAGAAGAGAAGGACAAAGAAAAGAAAGATGGTGATGATGAAAGTACAGTTAAAGTTGATCTTAAAATGTGGGAAAGTTGTCAGATTGAGAAGCAAGAAGCTTTCCACAAGGAGAGACCAGAGCAAGATGCTCCAAAAGAAGAAGTGGAAGACTCTAACATGATAGACCGAAGCGCGAAAACCTCACCCGAAAACATGAAAGAAAACAGAGAAGATCAGCTGGTGAATGAGAAGGAGAAGAAGATCAAGAAGAAGACTCTGTTTGGTAAAGTTGGGAATCTTCTCAAGAAGAAAGGACCTGTGAATCAGAGATAAATGAAAACGTTTCTTTGATTTTACTACAGTTTTTTTGTGTGTGGTATTGCTGAATTTGGCTTATTACATAATGCAGATACACACATCTCTCTTCATCACTTTGACTTCTTCCTATGTGTTCTTATATTTTCTTTCTTTTTTTTTTTTGGATTTATGGCTTCTGAAATAGGTTTGTATTTAGCTTTTTGCTTCTGATCTTTTCTTCTTTGGATTTTTTTTGACCTATTGTGTTCTTCGTTCTTATTATGTCATCAGCAAACTCAGAACAATATCTTTGTTTATGTAAAGGTTTTTTCTGTCGTGTTTCTTTGACTGTGAAGAACTTACTTTCAGGGACCTTTAAGTCTTTAACTATTGTTTAATTCTTCAAAAACTGGTTGGTAACTTGCGACGCAAGTTCCTCGCGCTAAGTAACTTTCTCACGGTAAAAAAAAGGTTAATAACCTTTTATACGGTCTTATCCCTAACCTTAAGTCATTGCAAAAAAGTAAGTCAAAATTGTGCTTAGTAGTCTGTGGCTTGTAAACTGATAACAAAGTCGAGAAAGGTAAAAATTGTTGTTCTAAATAAGCAAGTCTCTAGTCTAACGAAAACTTTGTTTACTAACTAAAGTATACACAGAAGGTAAAAGGGATATATTAGTTCATCTGTTCCAATCATCTTGAATGTACGTATAGTCGTAAAGAAAAAAAGTAGCTTTATATGCCAACTTATTTTGGTGTTATATAGATACGTATTTGAACCAAAAACCACAAATGTTAGTTTATTCAAAAGTAGGTGAATTATATAAACTATATACTTTTCTTTCTTCTTATTATCTATCAAACTTATTTAGATAGGGCGTACCAGTTCTTTTCTTATAAAGATTAGATATAACCCTAGGGTTTTTGAGCCAAACTAAGTTTGATTTAAATTTATAATTGTGAGTTAAATGAATTCATATTATGGTTTATGAATTCATGTTTGAATACAGTGACCAAATATATAAGCGTCATAATATCAGTGTGGTTTCGTCCACTAGTGACAGTGCATGAAAAGAAAAAGTTCTCTAAACCCTAACGTGACGTTACATTGCATGGCTCGTAAGAGATAATTGAACATTTTATGATTAATTAACTCTATTTAAGTTATGTTTGTGTTAGGCTTTGGTACTACGTGTATTGTAGCAAAATAAATCAGGTTTTATCTTGCGTGAGTGTATCTTTTAGCAAACATTGAAGGTTTAATCATATGTGTACGCATATTATAATACACAAATTATACTTGATTCTATGTATGTGCCGTGTACATTTACGTATTTTAAAGCACATAAAAGGATTAACGTCCGTTTTATAATTTTACAGCGTTGGTTTGTGCATTAAGGAGAAAACTACTATATGGATGAAGATAATTTAGGCTTGTCCTTTAACTATTTTCAGGAGATCTGAATTTTAGCATCAGTTCCTTGGAAACCCTTTTCTTTGAGAACTACAAAGAGCGTTCTTGTCATGAAAGATATATGTAACTCCAAAGCTTTTACTAGTTTCAAAGTATGCAAATAACTGACCACAAACTGGTATATAAAACTCAAATTAATTTTTTTTTTTTGTATTTATGCATAGTTGTATCCAACACTGATATAAGATGATTATCAAAGAGTTTTGATACATTAGTTATCAAAATTTCTCTAGAAAATATATATTTCATATATAGGGTTTAGTTCATTAATTTTGGTGGTATATAAATTTTATTAAATTATTCGGTAAAAATTAGAACTTATGTTCATGTACCATGAACATAAGTTTAGCATACATTACCCATTAGAAAATTAGAAATGACACCCATATACCATGAAAATAAGTTTAGCATACATATATATAAATTTGGAGTGAGGTTATGTATTTTTAAACAACACTAAAGAGGCTAAATAATATAGATAGTATTTATCAAAAAATTTAATATTTCAAGATAAATTAGAAAATCTGTTATTTTTGTTTAAATATATAGATGCATCATGTACTAACATATTATGGAAATTAATAAGGTTTGAGACCTTCGGTGTTCCCGTTTCTCCAGAAAATAAAATTTTTGTAGGGGTCAGTTCACTTATAAGGTGATATATGAAGTTTAAAAATATTATTCGTTGGAAAATTAGAAATGATGTCCATGTACCATGAAACTAAGTTTAACATACATTAATATAGATGCATTCAACACATATATAGTATGAAGATCGAGGATGTCTGACACCTTTGTTGTCCAAATTTCCTTAGAATATAGATATTTTCATAGGGTTTATTCTTTGATTTACGTGGTATATGAAGTATATTAAATTACTCTTTGGAAATTATAACTGATGTTCATGTACCATGAAAATAAATTTTAGGATATATTAGTATAAATTTTAATGTGGTTAGATATTTTAAACAACACTAAGCATGCTAAACTTAAGAACAAATAGCATTTATCAGAAAACTCGATATTTTTGTAGAGATTATTAATCAACAGATTTCAAGATAAATTAGAAAAATATGAAATTTTTGTATTTATGAATAGCTACCTCCAGAACTGATATATGATGAATATCAAAGAGTTTTGATACCTTAGTTGTCCGAATTTCTCTAGAATATAGAGATTTCATAGGGTTTAGTTATTTGATTTACGTGGTATATGAAATTTCTATTAAATTACTCGTTTGAAAATTATAACTGATGCCTATATACCAAGAAAATAAATTTAGGATACATTGATATAAGTTTTTAATGTGGTTAGATATTTTAGACAACACTAAAGAGGTTAAACTTTAGTACAAATAAAATTTATCGAAAAATATGTTTTTTTTCCCGTAGGGTTTAACTCACAGATTTCAAAATAAATTAGAAAATATAGAGATTTTGTAGGGTTTAATTCTTTATTATAGTTGGTATATAAAGTTTTATTAAATCACTCGTTGGAAATTATAACTCTTGCCAATGTACCAAGAAAATAAATTTGGGATACCTTATTATAAAATTTTTTAACGTGGTAAGATATTTTAAACAACACTAAAGAGGTTAATCTTTACTACAAATAGCATTTTTTGGAATATTTGATTTTTTCGTAGGGGTTAGCCCACAATTTTTTTTATAAATTAGAAAATATGGAGTTTTTTTATTTATGCATAGATACATCCAACACTGATATAAGATGAATACTAAAGAGTTTTGATATTTTAGTTATCCCAATTTCTTTAGAATATTGAGATTTCATTAGGTTTAATTATTTGATTTACGTGGTATATAAAGTTTTATTAAATAATTTGTTGAAAAATTATAACTGATGCCCATGTACCAAGAAAATAAATTTGTGATACCTTATTATGAGTTTTTAATGTGGCAATATATTTTAGACAACACTAAAAAGGTTAATCTTTACAACAAACATCATTTATCGGAAAATTCATTTTTTCGTAGGAGTTAGTGTACAGATTTAAAAAAATTTAGAAAATTTGGAATTTTGTATTTATGCCTAGGTGAATCCAAAACTGATATAAGATGAATATTAAAGAGTTTTGATATTTTAGTTGTCCCAATTTCTTTAGAATGTTGAGATTTCATTGGGTTTAGTTATTGGGCAATTCTCTAAAATAGCTCTCTTTTAAGTTTTTTTTCTCACAAAAATAGACCTCAAAAATTAAAATGACCAAAATAGCATTTTTTATTTTGAAAATTTTAAGTTTTTATTTTTATTTTTTTAAATTCGAAACCCTATCTCCAAAACCTCACTCCTCAACTCTAAACAAAAAAATCTAGAATTAGTAACCCAAGGGGTATAAATGTATATTTAATAAAATATTTAAATGCTATTTTGATCATTATAATTGTTAAGGTCTATATTTGTGATAAAATTTTTTTAGGTCTATTCTAGTTATTTTCTCTTAGTTATTTGATTTATGTGGTATATAAAGTTTTATTAAATAATTTGTTGGAAAATTATAACGGATGCCCATGTACCAAAAAAATAAATTTAGGCTACCTTATTATAAGTTTTTAATGTGGTTACATATTTTAAACAACACTAAAGAGGTTAATCTTTACTACAAATAACATTTATCGGAAAATTTGATTTTTTTCGTAAGGGTTAACCAACAATTGTTTTTAAAATCAGAAAATTTGGATCCACCACTGATATAGGATGAATATTAAGAAGTTTTGATATCTTATTTGTCCCAATTTCTTTAGAATATTAAAATTATAACTGATGACCAATGTACCAAGAATAACTGATGACCCATGTACCAAGAAAATAAATTTAGGATACATTATTATAAGTTTTTAATGTGTTACATATTTTAAACAACACTAAAGAAGTTACTTTTTACTTCAAATAGTAGTTATTGGAAAATTTGATTATTTCTTAGGGGTTAGCCCACAATTTTTTTAAAAATCAGAAAATTTGGAAATTTTGTATTTATGCAAGGATGCATCCAACACTGATATAGAATGAATATTAAATAGTTTTGATAACATAGTTGTCCCAATTTATTTAGAATACTGATTTCATTGGATTTAGTTCTTTGATTTACGTGGTTTTTAAAGTTTTATCAAATAACTCGTTGGAAAATTATAACTGATGCCTAGTTACCAAGAAAATAAATTTAGGATACCTTATTATAAGTTTTTAATGTGGTTACAAATTTTAAACAACACTATAGAGGTTAATCTTTACTACAAATAACATTTATCGGAAAATTTNTTGATTTACGTGGTTTTTAAAGTTTTATCAAATAACTCGTTGGAAAATTATAACTGATGCCTAGTTACCAAGAAAATAAATTTAGGATACCTTATTATAAGTTTTTAATGTGGTTACAAATTTTAAACAACACTATAGAGGTTAATCTTTACTACAAATAACATTTATCGGAAAATTTGATTTTTTCGTAGGGGTTAGCCCACAAATTTTTTTAAAAATCAAAAAAATCGGAAACTTTGTATTTATGCATGGAAGCATCAAACACTGATATAGGATGAGTATTAATGAGTTTTGATATATTAGTTGTCCCAATTTCCTAGAATACTGAGATTTCATTGGGTTTATTTCTTTGAACGACGTGGTATTTAAATTTTTATTAAATAACTAGTTGGAAAATTATAACTGAAGACCAATGTACCAAGAAAATAAATTTAGGAGACCATATTTTAAGTTCTTAATGTGGTTATATATTTTAAACAACACTA